CTGTCCATATTTTGATGTCATGATATGTAAATTAAAAATTATTATTTTACGGTGATAATCTTGTTTTCTTGTGCCCAATAATGCATAATTTCATTTGATAAACACGTTTAGATTGAATAGTAATTTATAATCAGTCACAAGAACGTCGAATCTGAATCACTTGAAAAAAACACGGGGGTGCTTAACTTTTTTCCAGGTGTATATTTTCAGCATAAGGTCTTACAATTATTTCAAAACTTCTCAAGCATTTATTACAAATACTAAAATTCCATGTACTCTCTCTACACCAAAATAAGTAACTGTAATATTGTAATACCTGTTAACTTAAAAAACTAATTATAACATAAGAGAATTCAAAGGAGATTAAGAATGATATCTTTAGGATTAGAGACACACAAGTTTTCTCGATACATGCTTTTTAAAGTAGCTGGTCCATAAAGTAGAATGGTTTTCTAAATTAGCAAGCAGGTCAGTCAAGAACTTTTCAGTTTTAGCTTTATACTTTATTTTGAAATGTCTATAGTCTAGCACTGGTCAGGAAATCACATTTTACCTCTCACAGAACTGTTGTTTCATCAGAAAAATGCAATACAAGCATAATTCTTATAAAAATTATGACATACATGTATTTCAGGTAAACTAAAACAGATTAACCCAGCCGAATGAAAACACTTTTCTTCAAACTTTTAATGGGTAAAGCTTAAACCTTCTTTAGGCAGAGATTTTATTAAAGCATTTCTGTTGGGAAAGTCCATAATCCTTATTCTTTGACCATCTGTATTAGTTCTATCCCAGTTGGTAATGTTGCGTATCTGTTCGTTTGTTAATTTCCCATAAAAATTATTTCCGAAGAACTTCAGCGAAAGAAGTCCTTTCTTAAATAAAACTAATTTATTCTTTTTCAACACAACTTTGCAATACACAGAATTTCCACAGTCACTTTAACTTAAACACACGCTATAATTCACAATGATTCACACACTTTACCTACGACTTGACTTGATTATCTGTCTCTATCTGCTATCCAATTAATTATCTCGCTTTATTTGCCGCACTTATATACAAGAATAGAGGGCATCTAGAATGCACTCGCCTCTTCATGAACCTTCTAGACCCTTATCACGTGTTACCAGCTTCACGTGACTTCCGCTGTCGTAACAGTAACTTGCAACCACACAATACATGTAATTGTTTTTAATCAATCACCAATACTGAGAACTGGTTTAATATTCTATCGGATGAATAAGATCAAACATTTTATCCACCAAATATGAAAGTTTGTTTGTTTGTTGTGAATTACAAAGCTACATCAAAAGATATTGATAGTTAGCCCACCACAGGTGTTCAAACCTAATCTTTAGCCATATAAGGCTTCACATTTATTACTGGGTGGTGAGAGGAGGAATATGGAATTTTAAAATTATTGTTTATCACAGTACAGATCTTTCTGCTTGACTCAGGACTTTTCTGTTTCTGTAGTGTGTGTTATTAGATTACTTAAATTTCTGGACAGATATACTCTTACGGATATCATACATTGGTAAGTTGTTTTAGTTGGTGGGGGCTGGTTGATATGGACTGAATAACTTCCTGTCACTTCACTAATTTTTCTGTTTGTTAATCTACTTAAAAGAATTTGAATTTCTTCTAACAGTTAGTTGTTTGTATTAGAGATTAACTCACAATACAACACAGAGCCAACAATGATCCACAGTTACCTCCAAAATGGCCTCTGATTTCAAACAATATGGTAGTTTTACACAATACCACTGTCTAACTATAAAAGTAACTATACATAAACTTTTGTAAACCTTGCATACATATATTATACTTGTGTATAAATTGTAGTTACGTTTCTACATACTGTAGCTATGGTGTGATTAACAAATACTGAAAGATACCACGTATAAAACTCCAACCATTTTATTTTGGGTTTAACTAAAATAGTGCAGTTAAAAACAAATATACAATATGAAAAGATAACAGAAGGCAATCAGTCCACGTAGGTCATTCTTCACTCTGACACCCACATAAATAAAACATAAAAACTGTATGATTTTATGAGTTTTTTTAAATGATCTTAAAACACAGTGGTTTAGGGGTAGAAATGTGGACCCTTTTGGGAGTGCACCAATGGGTTAACAGGAAGCTGAACTTAAAGGGCCAGTGGAAGGGCCAGTGAATGCATTATCCATATGGAATGCTTCTGCACAGATCATGGTCATGCCAAAATAAGATTATCACCCTAGTGGGGGAACCATACTATATCCAAAATAGGTTTGTTCTTTACCTAGAACCTAAATCATGCACTGAAGGTGGAATTTGACGTGATCCATCATCACCACTGCCCAGGCCCCAACTAGGCAGCTGAGGTCTCACTCTTTGGGGTTGGAATTATAGGGCCATGGTCCCTAACACCAACTTTGGTGGCTAGAGCTTTTGGACTGTAAGAGGTATATTTGTGAGTGGATCCCAACCTGTAGCCATAGAGTGATGCGTTCCAAGCCACTGGAATCATGACGAGAAGGTAAGTGAACAAACCCTCTCTTCAACCTGAAAAAGGTCCGAAAGGCAAAATCCAAACCTTGGAATGATGGAATTCTGTATGCCATACTCAGTCTGAGGAAACAGAATTCATCCTCACTCCCCAATCATGTGGGCAAGGAAAATTCCACTTTCTCACGGAATTATAGAGAGGACGTGGAACAACCAATGTTCAACCAAGGAACAGGATGGAACCACTCTGCATTTCAAATTACGAGGAGACAATGGACCCTCTTTCATGAACACTATACTGAATAAATATTGATCATAAAGAAGATCCATGCTCAATCCAACTTGAAAGCTAAATGTCAAATCTGTACCAGTATTACAAGTAGGCTCCCATATTGGCTGGGCCCCCCAACTTTGCCCTCTTCTCCAAGAGTGAAGGAAAGTCGCTCAAACACTGGAGAAATAACCTCTGTCCACCACACCAATGAGTGGTAAGGACTCCCAAGCTTCACTTGAAGAGTACAGGGGGAGGGGGTAATGCACGTTTGGAAGCCCTGAGGAACAATGTTCTGAAAAAAAAGTGCAGTAGGTGAACCAAGTTCCCTAAATTTTTAAAAGCAAACCGAGCGCAATTTATTCAATCCACTGGTTGGGAGGGATGGACAGGATCCCCTTATGCTTTATTCATGCAGTAATACCACCCAGTCAGTCTCTAGGTGGTCTTATGGAACACCTCATTTGTATAGAGCATGTTGTATTAATGGTTGGAGACGGCTTGAATAGGTAATGAAGCCGTCTCCAACCATTATTAGTCTCAAACTGGGTTCCTCGTCATCGAACTAGATAAAGTATATTGTGTTAGTGGTTGCTAGTGCAGATTTGGTTTGATTAAAGCACACCTGACTGAGCAACACTCACCACAGAGTGGGATGCTGTGGAAAAAAAGAAGTAAAGGACCTTGGAAAGGAAAGACAAGA